GCCTGGTTTACCAGAATACGTACGACTGCTTTCTCGTGAACACTTGATAATTAATTTAATTTCATCAATTTAATAATACGGATATATACTGGATCTTTATTGTTATTTTTCAATCTTATAATACAGTGTCTTACCTGCGACAATTGCTGAAACTGCTCTTTACATTGTTTATATATAAACCAAATTACAATACAAGCTATTATGCTAATTGTCAACATAATTACACTTATGATTAGTTTAATTTCTATGTTTTCCTGTTGATTGAGCCAAAATTTGGTCACACTGTACATTTTTGATACAATTCTCTGCCAATTCTGACTATTTTCCGACTGTACAGTACTATTGGACGTATCCGATTGCACGGCGACAGATAACTTAGTCCCAGTGACATTCAACGTAGAAGTCTCCAAGATTATTGGATCAGATCGCCCAGTTATTTGGAGAAGCTGATTTTGTGGTTTGTATTCCGCGGGTATTTTGTAATGACCTAAGTAAATCACAAACATTATAAAAGATATACAATATGCAATATTATATATATGCTACATATCCAATATAATCGTAATTGTGCATATTACCTAATGTAATGACATTTTCAGTATGTTTAACGCTTTGATAACCATCATCAGCTATGTCAATATTAGAAATTAAAACATGATCCCCTGGCAATGATACTTTATTATCCGCATGAAGATGCGATGTCACTAATGGCCCCTCCAGCAATAAGTGTCCTACATTATTCGATATAGTTGTCGTGTCCAAATCAACAAGCGATGGTAATGCATAGAGACCATATCGATGTTGTCCAACGTACAAAGTTGGGCTAAAGGAGAAAAGATATTTTAATTGTTAACTATTATACATATTATATATGAAATTTGCAAATACATATCTTCTATGCCAAACTGTCTTTTATGAAATCATTTTCTTTTTAAACATTGATTTAACTTACAACAATTGAACATCAGTTGGCTTTGTCGCGAATTTTTCCAACAATGAATCGGCAATACTTGTAAAAGGAATTGTCAATAATCCATTTTTGGTTACAGTATACATGGCTATCACCGGACTTTTCAAGTCCAATTTCCAAAGAATCTTACCTAAACCGTCCAAGGTCACTACACGACCTGTAGAACTTGTGGTAAAATGTACTAAATCTGAAATCAAATCAAATTTTCTTAATACACACTTAATACACACTGCCTACGCATGCGCACACACAAAATGTATCATAAAAATGTATATAACACACTTATCATACATTATATAGAATACATATATAATAGTACGATATATATATATATATATATAAAC